TTTAAAAGATATTGGAATAAATTTAATGAAAGGTCTGATTCCCTTTCTAAAATAACTGAATCAGTGGTGCCTTCTAAGATAATGAAACAACAGTCTTACCTTCGGGAAAGGACTATAAACTCCTTAAAAGAACCGTAAAGTCACCCTACTTAGGTAGTTCTTGGAGAAACCAAGGACCACCGGTGACAGCGTAACTGGTTTTTTTGTTTATCAGCTAAATTATTTGCCTGTTAATTACTTTTAAGGGGTGAGAAAACTATGTATTTTTGTAGAGATGCAGGAGAGTTTTTAAAAGAGGAATTGGAGGATGGAAATTGTGAGATAGAGTTTGTGTCTTCTATGAGAATGGTTTTTTCTATTGAGTTAATAGTGTTGAAATACAGCTCTTGATCTTTGTAACTGAATATTATGTTATCTATACTGTTTGTAGCCTGTTTTACTCTTTTCTGTTATAGATAGGAAGAAATAGCATCAAATGTTTAAATAACAGCTGTAACTTCTTTTATATTGTATGAGATGTTTATACTGTTGAAAGTAACTAGTACTGCATATTCTGGATTGTCAATAATGTGTTTTGAAAAAGTGTTTTGTTCTTGTTGCTTCAGGGTTGTGAAAAGAAAAAACATGATAACTTTTTAACTTTGGAAAGTATTGTAGTTTTTGAAAAATATTATGTTTCATAACTTTTTTTTTGTTTCTTAACTTTTCAAGAAGAAAACTTACATCCATATATTTTTTGAATTTTTTGAATTTTTATTTTTCAATTTTTGTCAGATGCAGGAGAGTTTTTTTTTATTACTATTTTAGTAAATAAAAAACTTTTATATGTAGAAATGATTGACAATTATTTTTATATTTTTTTATTTTTTTAAAATTTTTAATAAATTTCAATCGTTTTTATTCACATCTAAGTAAAGCCTAAATTTCCAATAAATACTATGAAAAATGCTACTAATTAAAACTATAGATATTGTTTCTGGCTACAATTCAATATAAGATAGTTGGCATCTATTTTTAAAATCCATCAATTCCAGTACAAACAATGATTAAGGATTAAATTTATCATTTTTTGTCAATTTTATTTGAAGTGTAATTTCTCTATGTGTAGATATTTAATTTTAATCATATGATAGCCCTTATTTAGGGGAATCTAATAAAAAAAGTTTGTGCAATTTAGATCACTCGTTGTGGCACAATTTGCATTTTAAATTTAGTAATTTTTTTAAAAATTTTCACCCACTGTACGGATATATTCGGATATCCTCGGATATATCCGGATATTTAATTACGGATATCCAGGGGTGTACAGATTAAGGGTCTTCTAAAAAAAGGAATCGAAGATCCCCAAAATCTCTACGCGTTGATGCATACTATAAAAATAGACACAAAATATCAACGGAACTATGGCCTGTCCGATTTATAGATATCTCTCTTCTCATTCTTTTCTTTTATGGACAATTTTATATTTTATGTCCAAACTTTTACTTCAAGAAATACAAATATTCCTATCTTACAATATTTTAAGTTCTTCTCTTCATTGTATCAATTATGTATCTAAGCTACTAAACACTAAAAATGTAAAAATCGTGTATCATATTTATTATTTTATAGCCCATTATTAAATATCAAAGAGAATTTATTTGTATCAAAGGAGATACATGAAATAACGATGTAAGTATAATAAGAATACTAAAATATATAGATGGATAAGATTCGTCCAGGTTTTCTTGTTATCTTCGCTTTGAGGGAGAATGCCCGGATGGGTTGAGGGATACATATGGGATATATCAATATAAGCTTTTGATAAAGATCTATTGACTTGGAGGAGGGTCAATAATTTTCTTTATAATAAAACAAAACTTAGTTTGATGTATTCCTGTATTCGTTATCTTCTTGTTTTTTTTTAATCTTATTATATTTATTGTGAAAAAACATTTCTCATTAGTCTCACTTTCATTACAGGTAAATGATGATCAAATGAAAATTTTGTGGAATAGATTTTATGAAGAAAATAATAATAATAATTAATCTTTATCATCATCACCATATTCTTCATCATTTGCCGTCTTCTCGATCACGTTCACCATCTCTACCACACATCCAGTATCAATTGCTTGCAAACGTAAAATTTCTTGCTAAAAAATTTTATTTAAACGGTTTATACCATCTTCATAACAATTATATAATTTTTCGAACCCTCATGTCATACAAATAATCAAACAGTGTAATATATCTAGCATTTAGATAGTAAGTAAACAATTTTTATTATTACATGTATTAATTTTGAATCAAATCAAGCAATTCTAATATTTATTAAACATAAAAAATTCAGTTATATGAATGTCATTAATTTATTTATTTATTTTGATAATAAAACTACTTTACAAAAAAAAAAAAGAAAAGAAAAACTTGATGATTTTTTAAGAGTTGACGTTTTAAAATCGAAAAAATAAAAATAATAATTATAATAATAATAAATAAGAAGAATAATAATGATAGTCGTGGTAAAAAATAAATTCTAAAAATATTATGTATTCTAGAAAATATTCTAGAAAATTAAATAAATAAAAATAATTATAATAATTATGATGATGATGATGATGATGATGATGATGATGATAATAATAACAATAATTATTACTGAAGGAATTAAATTAGATAATTTTGTAAAAGATCTTTTTTACATTATACGTTAACTGTATTATGTAAGCAACCAATTTTTAATTATGTAAGAAAACTATTAACTATATCAATTATGTAAATTAACCGTTCATTTTAACTATAAATTATTATATTATTATAAAAACTATGGTTAATAAAATGTTCATTTATTTTTTTATCGATTCCTTCGGTTTCTCGTTATGTCATTTTTGATCGTCGATAAATTTAATAATTCTGTATCACTATTGTTGTTATTATTATTGTTATTGTTATTGTTATTGTTACTATTATTATTATTTGTGTTTGATGATCCTACTGCATCATCATCATTTTCTTCATTTTCATTTTCTTTATCATCATTTTTATTTTCTTTTTGAATCACCAATTTCTTATTATTACGAATTGATTTATCTTTATTATTATAATCATTAAGATTCATATCATCATCATCATCCTTATTATTATTATTATTATTATTATTATTACTATTATTATTAAGAATTTCTTTCGATTTTCTTTTAGTGAACCCATTAAAAATTTTACCTAATCTCTCTGAAAAGTTTGGTAAAATGTTAGCGAATGGATGATCAATTTCTTCTTCTTCTTCCTCAAAATAATGATTACCTAATTCACCTCTAAAAGTATTAGTTGTAGGAGTAGCAACAATTGGACTATAATAATCATCAAAATTATCTGATTGTAATATACCAACAGAGAATGGTGAATAATCTTCCTCTATCTTTCTTCTTGTTTCAATATCTCGTATTATACTCCTCCTTGAGCGATTTCGTTCGAGGGACGAGTCAGAGGATCGCCGATCGTAGTTTGATCTTTATTGGTGGGCGGCCTAAAAGTCAGTATTTTTTTTTATTATATCATATTATTCATGTCATATTTACATTATGTCATATTTACATTATGTCATATTTAAATTATGTCATATTTAAATTATGTCATATTTAAATTGTCAGATTTATATTATATGATTTTATACTACTGCCTATTATCTTTTTATATAAATTATAATAAAAATTAATAAAAATAATAAATAATAAATAATCAAAATACTTACGTGTCTTCAAAGTCATTAACGTCTTCATAATCTTCCAAATTTACATCTTTTGAATAAATTCTTTCATGTGCATTACGTGGTTTGTTTAAAGATGATTCATTTTGTTCATTTTCTTCTTCAATTTGTGACACATCGACGTATGATTCAATTTGTGAATCATCCTCCGCATTATTATTATTATTATTATTATTATTATTATTGGATGCCTTTCTCTGACTAGCAGTTACAGACATTTCCACGTCATCATTCATTGAGTAAACAGTATTAGATGAATCTGTATGATTCTTTCCATCTTCATCACCATCTTCATCTTCAATAGTGAAAATATTATTTGTGGTATTGGTTTGTTCGTCTGGTATCAACCCTTTGGCCTGTGCTACTTTTGCAGCTTTTTGACGTTGTCTTTCATATTCTTCTTCTTCTTGACGTCTTGCCTCTTCCTCTTCAGCGGCTAATTGCTCATCCGTAGGTTGATTGTATTTAAACTATTAATGTTATTAATTTTTTTTTTTTAAAAAAAATGTAGTAATTATAATAATTTCAGTATAATTTTAGTAATTAAAGTTGTATATATGTATTATATTTTTTGATTTTTCCAACCATTTAATAACCATTCAATTATTTAAAACAATTTAATTCAATCAGCTCATTTAACTCAATTAACTCATTTTAACTCAATTAACCTATTTAACTTAATTAATTATTAACTAAAAATAAAAATATAACGATTTAGAGAGAGAGAGAGAGAGAGAAAAATTAACCTGTTCACTTATTAATTCGGTAAATTTACTAATTTGTTCATCAGGTAAAAATTGAGCATCTTGTGTTGGTAAATTTTCATCATCATCTAATAGTAAACGGTTTTCAGAAGCTGAAGCTTCTTCATTAGGTAAAACTGGATTCGTTCGACCGAAATAATTTGGAGTGTTGGTTGACCGTGAAAACGGAGCACGTGATAAAAATGCAGCTATGGACTCGGCATCCTGTTGAGCTAATAAGTGTTCGAATTCTAGGTTATCTTCGTCATCATAATATTGGTCAAATGGTGGCTGTGATTCACTACGAAAATGAAAACAAGGACACTTATTTAAACAAGACCACATTTCTTTGACTAAAAGAAACTGTGAATTTTATTTTATATATAATATTGATATTCCCAATTTTTTTTTTTATTTTTTATTTATTTTTTTAACTATTTTCTATAATTATAGTATAAAGAAAAAAAAATAAAACTTTGAGAAGAAAAGTATGAAAGAATATATGCAAGTATGTGCAAGGGTTTGTATATATATACAAGTTAAGAAAAAAAAAATTGAAAAGGGTGCAGGGGAATATTTGACAAATGAGATGATTTTTTATATTTATAATTGATTGATAGAATGGTCGTGTTAGGTATGACTTGAACTTGCCATAAATGACTTCTATAAAACTATAAACGTGATGAAAATGATGAATGTGATGAATGTGATGAATAAAAGATACTAAAATTGACGGTTTTTTGTTTTTTTTTTGTCTGAAGAAAAACGTACTGTCAATTACTTATTTTAGAAGTTTCGGGAATTTCCATTCTTTAAAAATAAAGTGTGTACTATGTAAAATATGTAAATGCCTGCACGTACGTCAAAATGTTAATGAGCTTTCTTTTCACAATAAAATGAAAAATCAATGCACAAAGACTTTTATCCATCAATTACCTAACTCAATTTATTTACATAAACACATTATTATCTCATTTTGAGGCATTTTTAGGGTTAATTGTTTACACAGAATTTTTATCAATCTAACAATTTTTAGTAATTAAATTAATTAAATTAAAAATGGTTTTTTTTTTATGTTCGATTTTATTGACAGCATCAATATTTAACATCATATCATTGAATCATTGATATATTTAACAAGGTCAAAAAGAACTGTAAAAAAATTGCGTATAGGAAATGTGTACACATATCTTAAAAAAAAAAGAGAATAATAAAGTCAACTTGCTTATTTTGATATCTAAATATCTAAATTGAAAATTTGAAATAATATAATTGAGAACTGCTTTCTGAATATTTCTAATAGTAGAACCTAACATTCATATATGTTATATATGTTATATATGTTAATTCATTACAATTATTCTCAACCAACCAACCAACCAACCAACCAATCAAGCCAAATTAATCATTCATTCAAATATCAAATTCTGATCTTATTATTATTCATTTCTTATTTCATTCTGATTATTATTCTCTGATTCGACCTTTTACTTTTCAAATTCAACCAAGTCAACCCAACCACCGCTTAAAGAAGAAAGTGAAAAAAAAGCGTAATAATAATAATAATAATAATAAAATTGTTATGTACAAGAATATAAAAAAAAGGCAGGTGAAAAAAAAGAAATGAATTTAAGATAAAAAAAAACGAAATAAAGAAAAAAAATTATATAATAGAAAAGAAAGAAATTATATAAAAGAAAAAAATATATACAGAAAAATTGAAGCTGTTTATATTCGCAGATGAAAAAAAAAAACCTCAGCACCCATGTTTATGATGTTGATGATTTATAGTAAATTAAAAAGGAATTGATTAAAAAAAAAAGAAATTGATAAAAAGAAATTGATTAAAAAAGAAATTGATTAAAAAAAGAAATTGATTAATAAAAGAAATTAAAGAAAAAAAAAGAATTATAGAAAGAAATTATTAGAAGACGACGTAAGACTATTTAAAAGATGAAAATAATGTAATAACAATGAATTTGTAACAGTGCAATGAATGTAAAGAGAATTCAAAGTGTCTAAAAAACAATTTTACAATATTATTAAAGAAATAACAACAATAAAAATGAACTTAAAGCATAAAAAAAAATTTATAAAATTGAAAAAAAGAGAATTCGATAAATTGTGAAGAAATGGTTGAATGAATGAAAAGCTTTAGTCGATTTTAGTCTTTAAAAGTATTTTAAAGTTGTTTAAAAGTTGTTTATGAAATAAATTTTCACAAAAAAAAAGATTTCATATTTAGAAGGAAAAAAAAAAATCGATAAATAATTCAGTTGTTACTACTTTTCTCAGTGAACAAAAAAAAAAGAACGTTTAAAAGAAAGAGACGTGAAAAGGACGTGTGATTATATCAACATCTTTGAAAGAAAAGTGTACATGTAAAAAGAGTAAATTACATTATTATTTTTTTTTTAAAAAAAAATATTAATTGTCATTATAATAATTATTATAATTATTATTTAATTATTAAACATTTACCACTAAAGGCTCTTCTAATTAAATATCACACCCCAACTCCTTGGCGAACCAATCCAAAAAGACGACGTGATACAGTCCTGTCCACTTGCTTAAGAACTTCTTTCTTAAGAAATTTGCACTCAACTGACGTTGCCAACTAATAACTTCGACCTTCCAACCTCGTTCTAAGGCCTTGATTATACACTTATGAAATCCTCCTTGGAAATATTCCGCATCTTTTCCGTCTCCGCTGGCCAAAACCAGTGTGGCGGGTGCTTTGTAATCTAATAAGGATTCCAAGATTTTAAGATGAAGAAGTTCATCTACGCATTGTTCCTTCTCCATCTCAAATTGAGTTGATACTTGATGGCCACCAGTACCGGTACTACTAGAAGAAGAAGAAGAAGAGGAAGAAGAAGTACTGTTGGTAGTAGCGCTGGTATTAGAAGTAGTAATAGTGGTAGTAGAATTTGAATATTCCAATTGTTGTTGCGCGTTGTTGTTGTTGTTATTATTATTATTATTATCAATACTATTTCTTCTTACGCGCTTAAGAACAGATACTTCATAACCAGCTTCTTCAGCTTTATCAAGTTGTTGATATAATGGCGAAGAGGCCACTAGAACTCTGCGTGCCACATTTCTCCCACGTTCAAGAATAGTAAATAAGGCTTCATATTCTAACATGGGTTTTTTATTAGACCTTTTTCCCAAAATAGTTCGAGGATTTTGAGTGCGACGAAGGTTTTGTTGTTGTCGACAATAAGCCATGAATCCTGCTAGGATATTGGAATTATCGACAAAAATGTGAATAGGATCTTCCGAAATCTTAATGGGAATCGGTACCCTAAACTTAAAAGTCGTCTTGGCATTGATTCGTTCTTCCAAAGTTGCTGGTTCTTTTAGTCCTTTTAGCCCTTGATTATTGTTATTATTATTATTATTGTTGTTGTTGTTGTTGTTGTTATTTTGATCGGTTTTATTATTACCATCCTAAAAAAAAATAATATTTAAAAAATAAAGAATATTTAAATATTGAAAAAAATTTAATATATCAAAATATTAGATATAAGCAGAAATTAAAGCTGTTGATTCATTTATTATTATATTTATATTTATTAATTAGTTTGTAATATTGAGAGAGATCAACGAACGAAATGTTAAACAAACAATTAAATAATTATATAATTATCTTACCGTTTTATTTCTTTTAGGTTCTTGTTGTTGAGTAAGTTTTCCATTTTTTTTATTTTTCTTATTATTATTCTTTTTCGTTGTTGCCACCACCTTTTCGGTCTCTTTGTCTACAGTTACCACCACGTAGCCTTCAACTTGTTTTTCGGGTCTAAATATAATCGCTTTATGATCCGCATCTTCCTCGGAAGAATATTCGGAGGAGGAAGAGTGAGGTAATAATGGTGGTTGTTTGCTGTTATTAAATTGTGTCGTCGTCGTCGTCGATGATGATGATGATGATTTAAAATTACATACAGTTGATGGGGAGGTTGATGATGATGATGATGATTGGACATTATTTGATGAGGCCAATATACTTCCAAAGTCCATTATAGGTGTAGTACCAGAATTACACCATTTCTCTTTCTCTCCTTGTAGAAATCGCCATAGATCTCCGAAATCACCTAAATTTGATAAATCTTGGGTACCGTTCTCTAGGTAAGTCCAAAGAGGTGTAAAGTCACCCAGACTACTTGAAGGCTCTTTAGAAGACGAAGCACGTGAAGAGGTGGCTTGAGAAATTGGAATTACGGTGTTCGCCATTTATATGTATATATATTTTTTCCCGAATCTACTTCTATTTAAACAAGTATACAAACAAACGGTGGTATTTTTCGTATTTTTTTTTTCTCAACAAACTTTTTACTCAAAATAGTGGTTTTGGTATTATATTAATGAAGTATTCTTTTTTTTTTATTTGAAATGGAAAAAATAAGTAGTTAAAAAATAAAAAAAAAAAAAAAAGGAAGGGAAAGATTTCATCCAAACAATCTCAGTTTTTAATAGAAGTATTTATTGATGGTAGCGAATACAAACTTTTCAAGTTTCAAAGCTAAAGACTGACTTGTGTAATACCCGAAAAAATGTAATGTGAAATTTCTATTGTGTATTTTTATATATATAATAGACAAAGAAACAGGTCAACCCATGTTACACCTCAAATTGGTGTATAAATAAAAAAATTACATCATATTTTTAATAGAAAAAATTTGGTAAATTTAGTAATTTATTTCTGGGGTAAAAAATAAAAAACCAAAATAACGTGATCGGAAATTTCTCAAACAATGAATTTTAATAATTTTCAAAAAAAAAAAATATGTTAAATGTTGTAAAGTTTCCAAATATCATTGTTACATAATAAAGAGATAATGATATAAACTTTTTATGATTTGGGTGAATTTAAAACCAAATGGGAATTTGAAATATTTATGTTTCATTTTTATTTTAGTTTTTTTTTTTATGATATCTCATTGGATAATTTAGGAAATTTCGGGTAATTTACTAGGGAATAAAAAAATATATTATTAATAGGCAAAACAGATAATGGAACAAAGAAATGATATGATAGTGTTGTTAACGAAACGAAAGGTAGTAATTCAGAAGTGTTTGAAGGAGAAGATTTGTATAATTGATACAATTGGAATAGGTAATATTTGATTATAACTTACTAAGAGATTATTATTTTCAATAAAAACGTCACTAAATAATGAGATTCGTAATTCTAAAAAAGAGAGACTCACTACATAATTGCCGAGATGATTATAAATCAGATAGTTTTTGACTGTTTGAACGACAAGATTAATGGTTTCATGACTTGAAAAAGAAATATTAGTAAAAGAGTTTCTCAAAACAAAAGAAGGAAATGAAGAAATAAAGAAAACCTTGAAAAAAACCTAGCCTATGATGAAATACAAAAAAAAAGGGAAACACGAGTGGGAAACTCACCATGAAATTTAAAGATATTCATCACTATCTAATATAATTCTATTAATTCTAGTAATTCTAGTAATTCTAATAAAGTAAAGATAAGAGTAATAATCTTACGTTTTTTTTTAACAAAGTCAACTGAAACTTTATTCTAAAGCATTTCAGGGTAATTCAAAATAAATTAATATAGAGTTAGATGTGATAATGATTTTTATATACTTAAAATATATACGTAAATATATTTTAATTTATGTTAAAGGAATATTTCCATATTTTAATTGAATGTCATTGATGTAGATCAGAATTTTTTTGAAAATATGTAAATCTTAGCACGTAATCATTAATGAATGTAAATATATAAACGGTGTACAGTATAAAGTTATCTTTGAATTCACGCGTTTTTCTTTTGTTCTTTAACAACACAAAAGAAAGTTTATTTATTATTTATTGAATGATACTTTTTTTTTGAAATGTTACTATATAACATAGATGTATTACGAAGATCTACATATAGACTATATAGATTAGACTCGCGCGCTGATAAAACAAACTTTTTTTCAATTTGTGTATTACTCAAAAGCAATTAACGAATTTGTAATACAAAATGGCTTCTAACGAAGACTTTATGGAACTTGCGGAAGTAATTCCTGACCACTATAAACTGAATTTAATATAAGATAAGAATGATCCTTTCGCACCCTTGTAAGTTTTGTTTGGCATGTCATAAGTTTGTGCTACAATAATACAATAATACAAACAAATAATGCAATGGATAATGCTGATCATAATTAATCTTTAATTAATCGAGATTTTTATAGATTTTTGATCGATTAAAAAATTTACCTAAGCCAAATTTACGGATTTATTAAATTTATTTATTATCAAATTTATTTATTAAATTGGTGGTATTAAAAAATGTCTAGTGAAGAAGAAGAAGAATTCATTTTTTTTGATCCTCCCTTATGGAGGCAAAGAAGAAGTCTTGCTGTTGAAGTTTTGCGAAAAAATAAAGTGACATCGGTATATGTATTATTAATTTAATGTATTAGCAATAATTTAATAATAGTATTAATATAATATTAATTTATTATTAATATATAATATTGATAATTAATAATAATAATAATAATAATAATAATATACTATAAAATAATTTAATAATAATTTAATATATTCAAACTTATTATTAATAAAGGTATTTGATTATGGTTGTGGAGAAGGTTCACTTCTTTCTTTTCTTATTCAACCATATGAAGAAGAACCAATTTTACATCTTGCGGGTGTTGATATAAGTCACGAAGCATTAAAAAGTGTAGTTCTTTATTGTCAACCCATGGAAGATGATTATGCACCTGATTTTTTGAGATTGAGTCCATTAACTATAGAATTATATCAAGGTTATCAGAATTTTGAAATTTTAAATTTTAAATAATTTAATTAACTTACTTTTAATAATAATCAAATTTTAATAATCAATTAATAGGAAGTATTGATGTTGCAGATGAAAGATTAATTGGAATTGAAGCTATTGTGTGCCTAGAAGTGTAAGAACAATATTTTTAATTTATTTAATTTAATTCTATTTGATTTAATTTTAAATTTATTTAATTCAAATTTATTTATTTATTTAATTCAATTTATTTTATTTGTTTTATTTAAATTTATTTTATTTATTTTATTGCAATCGTTAATTATTTTATATATAATTATAACTATGGAATTTTTTTTAATGAATTTATATTTTTTAAAACAAGAATAGAACATGTTTATCCAAATGTATTAAATAAATTTTTTGAAACAGTTTTGGGAACCTATAAACCTAAAGTTTTGATTGTTTCAACACCCAACGTGGAATTTAATGTTTACTTTCCTCAATTAAAATATGGAACTCCCGAAGCAATACCTAGAATTGATGATCATAAATTTGAATGGACAAGGAAGGAATTTCAAGAGTGGTAAATTTTTATTATTCAATTTTTAAATCAAATTTTTATTGTAAAATGTTCAATCATAACAATCATAACTAAAAATTTCAAATATTTCTATTTAATTTATTTATTTTAATTTTCATTTTTTTTTTATTGAAAAGGTGTAATGTTGGAGCAAAGAAATATAATTATTCAGTCGAGTTCACAGGAGTAGGAAAATTAAAATATAGTGATCCAACAGTTGGATTCGCTACTCAAATTGCTATATTCCAAGATTTACAACCAGATGTTAAACCTACTTTAACTAATTT